AAAAAACTGGCTGCTAGGATGCCTAATGAATCTAGTGAGAACTTCAGCAAAGATAGAAAACATAAAAAATAACAGCAACCATAAAAAAGAACCTTCAGTCCGAATGAAGAATACAATAACTGAAATAAAGAATATCCTAGAAGGAATCAACAGCAGATTAAATGAAGCAGAGGATCAAGTCAGCAACTTGGAAGACAGTGTAGTGAAAAATCACCTAATCAGAACAGCAAAAAGAATAAGAAAATAGTTCTGTTTAAGGGACCTCTGGGACAGCATCAAGTGTACCATCATTTGCATCATAATGGAACCAGAAGGAGAAGAGAGAGCAATGAATTGAAAACCTATTTGAAGAACCAATGATTAAGACTTCCCTAACCTGGTGAAGGAAATATGCACACAAGTCCAGGAAGTGCTGAGAGTCCCAACAAAATGAATCTAAATGGGCCCACACCAAGACAAATCATAATTAAAAAGCCAAAGTTTACATACAAAGAAAGACCCTTAAAGATAGCAAGAGAAAAGCAATTAGTTGCCTACAAGGGAGTTTCCTTAAAACTGTCATCTCATTTCTCAACAGAAACTTTACACCGGCCAGAAGGGATTGACAGAAAATATTCAAAGTGATGAAAAGCAGGGGAATACAAACAAGACTATTTTACAGATATAGGCTATCATTTAGAATTGAAGGACATATAAAGAGCTTCCCAGACAAGAAAAAGCTAAAGGAGTTCATCACCACCAAATCAGTAATATAAGAAATATTTAAAAAACATCCTATATAATAAAAGCATAATATGCTAAGTGTCTGACTGTTCATTCGACCTTTCATTCAACCCTTCCACCAGCCACTGTGACATGCACTGACCACCAGGGGGCAGATGCTTTAACCCAGTAGGTTGGCTTGCTGCTGGGGTCTGGCCAATCAGGACTGGGCAAGATGGGCTGGACACACCCTGGAGTCCTCCCGTGGTCCCTCCCCAGCCTGCCAACCTCCACAGTCCCTCCCCCTCCAGCCAGCCCCCATTGGCCCTGATCAGAACTGAGCAAGATAGCCCCGATCAGCCCTAATCGCTAGCCAGGCCGAGGGACCCCACCAGTGCACAAATTCATGCACTGGGCCTCTAGTATTTAAGAAGAGGGAAGAAAAAGAATATAAAGCCATGGCTGGTTTGGCTCAGTAGATAGAACGTCAGCCTGCAGACTCAAGGGTCTCAGGTTCGATTCCCAGTTGGGGCATATGCCCAAGTTGTGGGGTCATTCTCCAGTAGGGGGCATGCAGGAGGGAACCAATCAATGATTCTCTCTCATCATTGATGTTTCTAACCTTCTCTCTCCCTCTCATGTCCTCTCTGAAATCAATAAAGATATATTTTTTAAAGTACATAAATATAAACTATAAAATAACAGTAACTACATACCTACCAATAATCATTTTAAATGTAAATGGATTTAATGCTCCAATCTTAGCTGAATGGGTAAGAAAATAAAACCCATACATATGTGGTCTATATGAGACTCATTTCAGATTCAAAGATACACACAGACTGAAAGTAAGGGAATGGAAATAGGTTTATCATGCAAATGAAAACAAAAAAAGTTGGGTTAGCAATAGGAGGGAACCTTGACTTACGAGTGTCACGACTAACGAGTTTTTTGAGATACCAGCTGTCTCTCGGCCGATTTTTTGCATTGAGTTGATAGAGTAATTTGAGTTAACGAGCTCCTTAACGAGCTCCTTAACGAGCTCGGTCTCGGAACAAATTAAACTCGTAAGTCAAGGCCCCACTGTACTTACATCAGACAAAATACGCTTTAAACAAGGGTTATAACAAGAGACAAAGGAGTATGATAAAGGAACCAATTGACGAGAGGACACAACACTTATAAACATTTATGGATCCAACAGAAGAGCACCCAAATTTATAAAGCAAGCATTAACAGACATAAATGGAGAGATCAACATTAATGGGGTAATTGTAGAGGACTTTAACACTCCATTGACATCAATAAATAGATCATCCAAACAGAAAATCAACAAGGAATCAGCGGTCTTAAATAACACACTAGACCAGATGGATTTAACTGATATTTTAGAGCATTTTACCCCAAAGCAACAGCACACACATTCTTTTCAAGCATACATAGAACATTTTTCAGGATAGATCACATATTAGGACACAAAACAAGCCTCAGTAAATTTTAAAAGATTGAAATTATATTAAGCATATTTTCTTATCACAATGGTATGAAACTAGAAATCAATTACAAGAAAAAAAACACATAACACATGTAAGCTAAATAACATGCTACTAAACAATGATTGGGTTAACAATAAGATCAAATTAAAAAATAAAATGATACCTTTGAGACAAATGAAAATAAAAACAAAGCAATCTAAAATCTATGGGACACAGGAAAAGCAATCCTAAGAGGGAAATTCATATCAATACAGACCTGCCTCAAGAAACAAGAAAAATCTCAAATAAATAATCTAATCTTACACCAAAAGGAGCTAGAAAAAGAAAACAAAGCCCCAAGTGAGTAAAAGGAAGGGTGTAATAAAATCAAGAAAAATAAATAAAACAGATTCTAAAAAAAATAGTACAATCAATCATGAAGCCAGAGCTGGTTCTTTGAAAAAGATAAACAAGGTTGATAAATCTTTTACCAGACCCATCAAGAAAAAAAAGAAAGGACCCAAATAAATAAAATTAGAAATAAAAGAGGAGAAGTGATACCGACACCACAGAAATACAAAGGGTTGTAAGAAAACACTACAAACAATTTCATGCCAACAAATTGGACACTCTGCAGGAAATGGATAAATTCCTAGAGCCATATCTTTCAAGTCTAAGTCAAGAAGAAACAGAAAATCTGAACAGATGGGTTACTACTAATGAAATGAAATCAGTAATCAGAAAACTTCCAACAAACAACAGTCCTAGTCCGAACAGTCTCACAGGTGAATTTTCTCAAACATTCAAAAAAAATTAACACATACTTCTCAAACAATTCCAAAAAAATTTTAAGAAATAAAGGCTCCCAAGCTCATTTTATGAGGCCAACATTACCCTAATTCCAAAACCAGACAAAGACATTAACAAAAAAATGTACATCCCAATAAATATCCCTAATGAACACACATGGAAAAATTCTCAACAAAATATTAGCAAATCAAATTCAGAAATACATTGAAAAGATCATACACCACGATTAAGTGGGACTTGTTCCTGGGATGCAAGGTTGTTGGTTCAATATCCATGAATCAATTAATGTGATACACCACATAAACAAAACAAAGAGTAAAAATCAAATGATCATATCAATAGATGCAGAGAAAAGCATTTAACAAAATCCAGCTCCCATTTATGATAAGAACTTTCAGCAAAGTAGAAATAGAGGGAACATACTTCAACATAACAAAGACCATATATGACAAACCTATGACTAACATTCTCAGTGAAAAAAAAGCTAAAAGTGCTTTCCTTAAGATCAGGAACAAGACAAGGACATCCACCTTTACCACTTTTATTCAACATTGTATTGGAAGTCCTTGCCATAGCAATCAGACAAAAAGAAAAAAGAAAAGGCATCCACACTGGAAATGAATAAGTAAAATAGTCATTATTTGCAGATGATATGATACTGCTTATAGACAGAAACCTAAAGAGGCTACCAAAAACTATTGGAACTGATAAATAAATTTGGTAAAATAGCAGGATATAAAGTTATATTCAGAATCAGTTGCATTTTTATACACCAATAACAAATTATGAGAAAAAGAAATTAAGAAAACAATCCCATTTACAATTGTATTAAAAATATTTCGGAATAAATTTAACCAATGAGGTAAAAGACATGTACTGGGAAAATTATAAGACATTGAAGAAGATACAAATAAATGGAAATATATACCATGCTCATGAATAGGAAGAATTAACATCATTAAAATGTCCACACTTCCCAAAGTAATCCATAGATTTAAGGCAATCCCTATCAAAATACCAATGGCATTTTCACAGAACTAAAACAAATATTCCAAAAAATGTATATGGAACCACAAAAGACCCTGAATAGCCACAGCAATCTTGAGAAAGAACAAAGTTGATCATTTCATGCTACCTGACAGCAAACTATACTACAAGACTATAGTAATCAAAACAGCATGGTACTGGCATAAAAACAGACACATAGATCAATGGAGCTGGATAGAGAGCTCAAAAATAAACCCACGCCTATGCGAGCAATTAATCTGTGACAAAGGAAGCGAGAATATACAATGGTGTAAAGAAAATCTATTCCAAATATTCCTGAAATTATAGGAGTGGGAAAACTGGACATATAGATGCAAAAAGAAAAGAAACTAGACCACTTTCTTACACCATATACAAGAATAAACTCAAAATGAATTGAAGACTTAAATGTAAGACTCAAGACTATAAAGCTCCCAGAAGAAAACATAGGCAGTAAACCCTCTGACATTGTTCTTAAAAATATTTTCCTGATATATATTCTTAGGCAAGGGAAACAAATAAAAAAATGGAACTACATCAAACTAAAAAGGTTTTGCATAGCGAAGGAAACTATCAACAAAATGAGAAGACAGACTACTTAATGAAGGAATATATTCACCAATGACAAATCTAATAAAGAGATTAATATCCAAAATTATAAAGATCTCCTACAAATCAACACCAAAAAGACAAACAATCCAATTTAAAAATGGGCAGAGGACCTGAATAGATACTTCTCCAAAGAGGACATGCAGATGGCCAGTAGACATATGAAAAGATGCTCAATGTCACTAATCAGCAGAGAAATGCAAATTAAAACTACCATGTGATTGTCAGAATGGCTATCACCAATAAATCCACAAACAGCAATGTTGGCAAAAACGCGCAGAAAAGGGCACCTTCATGCCCTGTTGGTGGGCAAGCAGGTTGGTACAGCCACTGTGGAAACAGAATGGCTCTTTCTCTGCCACCGTGGTGCGCGCGTTCGCTTCTCCTTTCGCCATGTCTTCCCACAAGACTTTCGGGATCAAGAGGTTCCTGGCCAAGAAACAAAAGCAGAATCAGCCCATTCCCCAATGGATTCCGATGAAAACTGGTAATAAAATCAGGTACAACTCGAAGAGGAGACATTGGAGAAGAGCCAAACTGGGCTATGAGAAATCACACATGATAGATGGCTCACATATTTATGCTGTGTCCAGATTGCCTGCACCTTTAAATGATTGAAAAGACCACTACTGTCAGGACAGTTGGGGCATTTTAATTGGAAAATTATTGGATTCATGATTTTGCTCTTTGGATTTTTTTTTCTGCAGTAGTAGGTTGGTTCAGTAATAAATGTGTGAGACCTTAAAAAAAAAAGAAAGAAAGAAAGAAAGAAAACAGAATGAAGCTTTCTCAAAAAAAAAAATTTTTTTTTAAATAGATCTACCTTATGACCCAGTAATTCTTCTTCTGGTTATATATCCAAATAAATACAAAACACTAATTTAAAAAGATATATGCTCCCCTCTGTCTGTTGCAGCATTATTTACAACTAGAGGTCCGGTGCATGAAATTCATGCACTGGGGAGGGAGAGGGGGTTGTCCCTCAGCCCAGCCTGCACCCTCTCCAATCTGGGACCCCTTGGGGGATGTCCAACTGCCGATTTAGGCCCCACAGAGATTGGGCCTAATGCAGCAGTCGGACATCCCTCTCACAATCTGGGACTGCTGGCTCCCACCCACTCACCTGCCTGCCTGCCTGATTGCCCCTAACCACTTCTGCCTGCAAGCCTGATCACCTCCTAACCACTCCCCTGCCAGCCTGATTGACGCCTAACTGCTCCCCTGCCAACCTGATTGCCCCCAACTGCCCTCCCCTGCAGGCCTGCCCCCCCAACTCCCCTCCCCCGCAGGCCTGGTTGCCCCCAACTGCCCTCCCCTGCCGGCCTGGTCACCCCTAACTGCCCTCCCCTGCAGGTCTGGTCCCCCCAACTGCCCTCCCCTGCAGGCCTGGTTGCCCCCAACTGCCCTCCCCTGCCAGCCCAGTCACCCCTAACTGCCCTCCCCTGCAGGCCTGGTCACCCACAACTGCCCTCCCCTGCCGGCCATCTTGTGGTGGCCATCTTGTGACCACATGGGGGTGGCCATCTTGTGTGAGGGTGTGATGGTCAATGTGCATATTACCTCTTTATTATATAAGATAGCCAATATATGGAAGCAGCTTAAGTGCCCATCAATAGATGATTGGATAAAGAGGTGGTACATATAGGGTGTCCCCCCAAAAAATGTGTACACACACTTTGAATTATTATAAAGGCAGTGTTTATTAAAATACATTTCATTTTTGCCCTAACTGGTTTGGCTCAGTGGAGAGAGCATCAGCCTGTGGACTGAAGGGTCCCAGGTTCGATTCTGGTCAAGGGCATGTACCTTGGTTGTAGGCACATCCCCAATAGGGAGTGTGCAGGAGGCAGCTGATCGATGTTTCTCTCTCATCGATGTTTCTAACTCTCCCTTCCTCTCTGTAAAAAATCAATAAAATATTTTTTTTTTAAAAAGTACTTTTCACTTTCAAAATTTAGGTATCAGTTGTTAAAGTGTGTATACATTTTGGGGGGACACACTTATATACAGTGGAATATTACTCAGCCATAAAAGAATGAAATCTTACCATTGTGACAGCATGCATGGACCTCCAGGGTATTATGCAAAGACAAATACCAAATGATTTCACTTATGGTGGAATCTAAAGAACAAAATAAACAAATAAACAAAACAGAAACAGACTCATAAACACAGAGATCAGACTGATGATTGCCATATAGGAGGGGGTGGGGGTATTGGGTGAAAAAGGTGAAGGGATTAAGAAGTAAAAATTGGTAGTTACAAAATAGTTATGTGGATGCAAAATACAGCATAGGGAATATAGTCAATAATATTGTAATAACTATGTATGGTACCGGGAGGGTACTAGACTTATCAGGGGATCCCTTCATAAATTATATAAAGTCATAACTACTATGCTGCACACCTGGAACTGATATAAAATAATATTGAATGTCAACTATAATTGAAAAATAAATAAATTTTTTAAATTATTCATAAAAATTTCCCAAAACTAAAGAGCATGAATTTTCAAGTTGAAAAGGTGCATCATAACTGATGAAAATAAATTCACACAGAGACACATACTTACAAATACCAAGTTTAAAGAGGAAATCCAAAAAGGAAAAAAAAAGGTCACAACCAATGTATCAAGAATCAGAATGGTTTTGAACATCAACACCAATACTAAACTCAAGAAGGTACTGGAGCAATATATTTAACTTGTACATTTTTTTTTAATTACAAATCATAATTCTGTATCAGTTAGGATGAGCTTGGTTATGCTGTAGTAACAAACAACTTCCACATTTCAGATGCTGTATGTCGACCTCAGTTCAGCAGGAGCCCAGCTCGTGGAGTGTCCGCCTATCCTCACAGTAGAAAAGAAAACAGGACAAATCATTTCGTCACCAGCTCTTTAAAAAACTGTCAGGAAGTGGCACACATCACATCTGCTCACATTTCATTGGCCATGGCTAGTTACATGGACTTGCCTAACTTCAAATAGTCAGATAAGTACAACCCTACCATGGACCCAAAAAAAAAGAACTAGATAAATATATAATTACCAGTCCATCCTCGGGTCACTAAACATTTAGTTCACTCTCCTCACCACGCAGCATGTACTCACCCTCTCCCCAAAGGGCAACAACCCAAAATCTCCACCTAATCGTAGCAACACACACCAAGTTCAGCATCCCTGGGGGAGGTGTTGTGCTATACACATCACATCTTGGTGTGGCTCTCCTCTTAGCCAGGAGACCTATCAGCTGAAAATAAGTTTTCTGCTCCACGTACTAAATATGCAGTGATGAAACAGAATAGGCCAGTGGTCGGCAAACTCATTAGTCAACCGAGCCAAATATCAACAGTACTTCTTCAAAATAGACTCGCCCAGGCCAAAAACCGACTTCTGCACATGGGCCACGAAGTTTCAATTGCACTGTACGTGCGTGCCCGCATGTGGTATTTTGTGGAAGAACCACACTCAAGGGGCCAAAGAGCCACATGTGGCTCGTGAGCCACAGTTTGCCGACCATGGGAATAGAATAACCACAGAAAAGGAGGAATGGAAGTCCAAGACCCTGTCCACAGCGATTCTGAATCCTCCTGGGTGACAGTTGAGGGCTCCATTCCTGGGAGCAGGGATGTGGCTGGTCTGGGCTTCCATTATGCACCTCAGGAATAACTCCTTTGTCCATTACACTCCACTGCTACTGGCTCTTTCCTCTAAGAAATTCTTTCTTTTCCATTATTCTCCTGGGCCGTATCTGAACTTGCTCTCCTCAAGTGCTGAGCCTCTTTCTTAGACCTTCCTGCTGATAGACAGGGTTGTTTCAGGTTCTTGAATCTCTTTCTCAGTCCAGACTGGTGGTCTTTTGAGCAATACAACTCTTCAATATCATCTTTTTACCTATTTGATTTTGTCAGCAATAACATTCAGTAACCATGCCCATACTTCTTTGAGAGATATAGAACCCAGAGTTCTATGTCTTTGATTTCTCATCTCCACCCATTCTCTCTTCATCTCAAGATCAGTGTACTTGAGTTTATCAGGATTAAGTGGGAGATCCACGGACTTACTCTATTTTCCTTGAGACATTTGTCCTAGTAAAGGGATAACTGAGTGCCACATCCTGGGGGCTTTTTACCTAAAACATTTTAACCTACTCCATTTTAACAGTGGGTGTGAGAACCATGCCCTTATTTTTGTTTTGTTTTTAACTTTTTGTTTGTTAATCCTCACTTGAGGATATTTTTCCATTGATTTTTAGAGAGTGGAAGAGAGAGGGAAAGACAGAGAGAAACATCGATGTGAGAGAAACATTGGGCCCAGGCCGGGGAGGAGCCTGCCCTTGATCAGAATCGAACCCGGGACCCTTTGGTCCCCAGGCTGATGGTCTGTCCACTGAGCCAAATCGGCTAGGGCCCATGCCCTTATTTTGACCCTTGTCACAACAATGAATTTTAAGTGGCCTTTTGTCATTCAAAACTCATTTTAATTTTATCTTCTATTATTTGGAGTCTAAAATGAAGTGGCTTTTCCAAATATTTCAAGACTGAATTTTTGGGAACTCTCTATGCACTTTCATTCCTGCTTGCATATTGGTCAATTCTCTTCAGAGCACACTTTTTCTTACAAATTTGCCAAGCACAGTAAATAATAACCAAACATATGCTAGCAAACTGTTTCCTCATATCTTCATCTTGAGTTTAAACTTTCTTAATAATGGTATCTGATTCCCAGGCAATTCATTAAATATTTCATACTACCCAATGTAAAATGCCATCATTACAACGTCTAATCAAGCTTCTTACAATCACTACACAGCCCCTACGCCAAACCACCTACAATTTTATTAGTTCTCCATCTCCAGGAGTCTATCTTGGTCTCAGTCAGGATAAGCTAGATTATGATGTGACAATAAACAACCCGTATATACCTAAAACAGTGAAAGTTTTATTTCTTGCTACATAGAAGGGAGAGATGTGCCCCAAGTCATTCTCCCCCCCGGGAACCCAGGCTGATGGAGCCTCCAGCATCTCAAATACATCAGTCACAGTAGCAGAGAGAAAACGCGGTAAATTACACACCACCTCTTAGAGTCTCCTGCCCATAGAATACCTTCTACTTCTACTCACGTTTTGTTGTCTAAAGCAAGTCACACTGCAATGCTAGCTGTCATGTGTCCAGAAAAGGAAGAACTATAAATATTCATGAATGGCATTAATGGCTACCATAAATTCTATAAGCAGTCAAACTATCATCTGGCATAAAGTATAATCATTAGGATTTTCAATTTTGCAAAATCTCAACAACAACAACAAAAAAGTTTATCTCTCTTCATAAGACCACAGAGCATGTCATCTATCAAAACAAAAGAAAAGTAATCCAAGAAAGGGGAAGTAAACCAAGCAAAGGAAATCTCCTGGGTGAAGGTAAGAAGGTCCCAGAATGCAGCTGTTCACAACACACAGAAGACAACCAGTCCAGGTTGGGACACTATAAGTCAAGAGGTAGAAATGTCTCTCCATTACTTTGCATTTACACCATCAATCTGATGAAACTACTGGAGGATGTACTTTACCAAAACAAGGAAGGAAAGCAAGACAGGAAAAAGATATGAGGTTAGAAA